ACCGCCCTGGGCCTGCGGGAGGAGAGCTTCGCCGTGGGGGCCCTCAGCAGGGTCGTCGCCGCCGAGCTGGCAAGCTACGCCCCGGCCAGGAACAGGAGGAGGACGGCCACCAACAAGGCCTCCGTCGTCTTCGTGGACAGAACGTTGGACCTCGCTGGTAAGAAATCCACTGCTGGTGGGGGCTGTCATCCCTGCGGGCCCACATCCACCCCATCCGGAGGGTTTCAGATAGTTGTAGGAGTCCTCGTGGCCTGGGAGCACGTGTGACACCATGGTGTGGTGGTTGCTCACACATCCTTGTTCCTCAGCGGTTCGTGGAAACCAAGAGCTAAGCAGAAGGCTCTGCTGGAAACACAAGGGTTTGTTTCCGGCACTTCCATTTTGCTGCAAGCTAGAGACCTTAGCTGTGCCTGTGTGGCATCCCAAGGCGTGAAGGAAATGGTCTGCACATTTCAGACTGTGCCTTGTGGATTACTGCAAAGCATTTCCCAGTGTATCCATGTGTCACCCTTAGCATTATACCCATCAAAACAGATACACATTTATATATGCACTTAACTATATCTATATGCCTGAAAGTGTCTCTGTATGTGTGTATATATATGGGTTTTATATGCTATGCATTATACTTAGTCTTTGAGTGAAGGAATTGCACATGGCTGGTGGTGTTAACTTGGAAAACCTTATGTTTGAGTGAAAACAATACAGAATTGCTTATACAACACTTTCTGGGAAAGCAAATGAGCGTAAGAATTAACCAGACGGTAAATTTGATACTACCAATTAATGCAGAATTGATGCAAAAAGTTGAGAAGTGTAGAGAGTGGTGTGAGTCCACTGGGAAACTGTCAGAAGGAGAATGGCTAGTATTGTAATCAACCTGCAAGCTTGGTAAGCGAGGTAAAGTCTTTTAAGCTGGTAAGATGTGATATCAAAAGGGCAGAAAGGGAGTGATTGAACGAGTCACCAGCAAGGTGCTGGGCCAGTGACCCAGAAAAAGTTTGTGTCAGGCTCTCACTTCTGGAATAACCATCTTTCAGAGGAAACAGTAAACTCAGAGAATAATTGATATGGGAGTGGCTGCATTCACTTACCCATCATATTATTGATAGATCTGCTCACATATACAATGTGTAGGCCTGGTTCTGTTTGCATTATCTGTAGTCAATAATTCAGGTCGTAATTTTGCCACCACGTGTCCCATAGAAAAGTGCTTGGCACAGTGTTGCACCTGCAGCTCATCTCTTTCTGAATTTTCTTCTGTTTCCGCCCTCCCCTCAATTTTGGCTTTGTGTATTCTTGCACTGCTATAGGGTTCATAGCTGTCAACAATGTGCTGAAAAGCAGCTAAGGTTCTGGGCAGTTAATGCTGTGCTGTGGTTGGGAAGATTGCTGGGAAGGCTGCAGGAGAGTGGACTTGGATGAAGAGCCTTGAAATGAAACTGTGAGAGGAGTGCCCGTTTGGGGTGGGAACCAGTGAAACTGGACAAAGATTCGTGCATTCAGGTGGTGGGAAGAATTAAAAACAACAAAAGGAACTGGAAATTGTGGGTGACAGGGAGCTGCCTCACAAGGAGACTGTTGAGGAGGCATGAAGAGAGATAATTGGTACCAGTTTAAATCTGGGAAGTGAAGTCTGGGATCTTGTACTTCAGTAGGAGAAGGTTTTCTCTGAAAGAGAAAACATCAGGGCTGTGGTGGGGCAGCTTTGGAGGGGATGCATCAAAGCTCTTGGAGTAAGGATGAGAAATTAAAATATTCATTTTTTTAGGAATATATTCTCTTTAGTATCTGTAACTGAAACCAAGATCCCTTCATGCAACCATTCTTTTGTTACCAACAAACGCCTCCAGAATTCATTGACAGTTTCATTAAAGCCTTCCTATGCTTTGGACATGATACCATATACTCTTGCCATCAAGTACAGTGCAAACTGAAGGAATAAAAATCTAGTGCATTTCAGAGGTAAAGCACTATGTGGACCTGAATTTAGTGCCACACAATGAGATTTGTTTCAGAAATTGTACAGTAAAAAGTACATGAAAAGAACAGTATTTAAGTTGTGAAATCAGTTGTCAAGAAGTGGGAAATGGCAAAATTAAGTTGTACCTGAACCTTAATTTTCTTAGGCGTATTCAGCCTTTTATATACTTTCTCCCCTGGCCCCCTACCTCTGACTCCACTGCTTGGCCTTCAGGTGAATGAGTCTGTTGAATTTCAGCCTTACACTTTGTAAAAGCTAAAGCTTTCTGTCTGCAAGTTTCCGGCTTCGTATTGGCAACTGGGCCACTGGATTTTTTTTCAAGCTATGATATGTATTTGCAGTCAGCAGTGTAAAAATAAATATTTCTTTTTTTCACATAACAGCTCGGTGCAGGTGGAAGTCTTTGAGGTAGACTTTCTCATTTGCAGCTCATTTCAAACAACTTTTTAAATCTCCCCTCTCTAAAGATGAAAGATTTTGGATTTGATTTGTAAATGTCTTATTGATACCTGAGTCTTGGCCAACATGTGGGCTGCAGATATGAGAAGTGGTTATGTATCCATGAATTATGAGAATGCTTTCATATTCTAAGCACTTTCACAAAAACCTGGAAGTTCATTATGGGTAGGTGCTGGGCTACTCTCTACTTAAGTCAGGCTACTGCTTCAAACCAAGTGACTTTAAATCACTCTGAATAGGCTATCAGGAGGCAAATATTTTCTAACTCGAAGACCTGGATGGAATACAGCTTTAGGTAGCTCTAGATGATGTCTAAAGGAGTTGCACTAACAGATGTCTTATTTTTGGCTCACGTTCCATTCTTATCTAGAGCAAATAAGATGTTAGGCTGGAAAAACAAATAGTTTTCAGTAATACCAATTGATTTCTAATAGTAAAAATCAAAATGTCTCAAAGTGCCTTTTCTGGTGCTACAGTTGCAAACAACTGAACCAAGGGAAAATACTGGTACTTAAATAAATATTAAGAACTTTCTACTTTAGTACATATTGGTAAAGAACCCCTGAAGCCAGTGTCAAGAAACTGTATTACCTTTGTTGTGACAACTATTAAAAAAAATAGTCACATATAAAATGGCACATTTTTCTATCAAAAGAACCAAAAAGCATCTAACTGACTAGGTTAGCTTTCTAGGTTCCATGAAGCAAAGAATCTCTTCTGAGCTATTACTCTAAAATTTGGATTGAGGTATACTGAATACTTTTTATAATCTAATTTTTTTGCGTTCAGCATTACTTATGCATGCTATAATTAATGAATAGAGAGGAAAACATTGAATTAAGATAAATAATTCTCCTTTTTGTCCTGTATGGCATAACATTCAGCTGAGCTGTAACAGGGATCTTCTTTTTATGGCCTCTGCTGCCCTCACTGCAGTGGTATGGCTTCAACTGGGGATGGCATGGATACTGCCTATCCCTGCAGTGTAGGTAGGATCTTATGGATAAAGCAGTGCCCCAGAAGGTGGGATGTATTTTTATGCCCTGAGGAGATCCGAGGCTTAGTACTTTGTGCTCACTTCTTGAGTTCTGATTGTATAAAACTTTGTTACTGGTGCTGTCCCTAATCTGTATGTATGTGTAGTGATGCTTTTGTTTGCCTACTTATTGTTTTAAAGTTCACTACCTTTGCTTTAAAAAGCAGAATAAATCCTCCCAGCTAGAGTGGTGGTCTGATAAGTGACACTGGTTAAAGCCAGAGCTAACTCTGGCACCTTAATTGCTCTTTTTTCTTCTCCTCTAATATTTGCGCCCCTAAATATTTGCATTGTGATACCATATTGTAACCCCATGCTCCTTCCATGTGTTTCTTAGTCACCACCTTGCCAGCATTCACACCTTTTATGAAACAGTTTTTCTGGCTTCCCAAATTTCCTTTTTCATTCGTAAGCTCATTGATACCTTTCAGATAGTGGTGTTCAGAACAGCTTGATGCGTTTCTCTTTCCAGTCTCTTGATGCTTTGCAGCATTTGGGATGTGGGCTGTTGTAAGCACAGGGAATAGTGAGGTCTCACCCACTGGTATGCGCAGGTGATTTTGAAACGCAGTACAGTGAGCAAAAGACAGAGAAGAATGAATAGCGGGGGGGTGGGGTGCCTGTGCAGTTAATGTATAACTTTGAATAATAACCTTTGTATGAGTGTTGTTGAAGTTGGATATTTCAGTGCTGTCAGCAACAGCACTTTTATCTTCCTCTAGCACTTTTGCATGTGTTGGTCAAAATCACAGGAATGTTTCCTCGCAGCCAAGGCTGCAAACTCGGGTTTAACTTTCTGTATCATCTCCTCACTGTCAGCCAGGCATCATCTTTGCATCACATCCTTGTGCTGATTGTATGTTTTCAGCCTTTTAACAGATGCAAAATGCATAGTTCAGGTGCTCATCAACGAAGCGTAGATACCATTCCCTTTCAGTTCCTGGGAGCAGCCACAGCGATGAGACAGTGGTGGTGTGTCTTAATCGTTTTACCAAATAATCCCATTCATAGAGGAGGATGAGAGTGAAGACTAATGTAGGCCCATGCCTTTCTGGTAAAATCTGGTTCTGACTAATATATCTTTTTTACTATTTTTGTTTTAAACTGTTTGTTTGTAACTGTCAATTTCTTTCATTATATCTGTCATGTTTCTAATTTGGAGCGCTTCCTCATGCTCTTTTTGATTGCAACATCTTCCAAATTGACGCATTGGTGGATTGACACTAATGTCTTTTTAAAGGAAACAAAACCATGTTTTTTTCTTCCTTACCATATAAGCTGAGGCTTTGAAAACATAAATACTGAGGCGTGTAGAGTACAGTAGTGCTCTTTTTATGAGCCAGGCTGGGGCTTTGACACAGGAGGCAACTGATGCTTAAATTGTTCTGGTTACTGGAGGTTGTAGACTGCAGCTGTGAGGAGTGATGGCAGCTAAAAATATTCAAGTGGTGTCAACTCAGTACTGTGGGTCAGGGTGCAGCCTCTGCTGTGGCTTGGTTTGTAAAGATTCTGCTATTGTGGAATAGGCACACAATTTTTTATAATAGGTTTTTAAATGCTTCAGACGTTAAATTTGTTATAGAGGCTTTACAGAGATAAGCAAATAAATGGAATGAGTTTAGCCTATTTAAAGAAAACTGCAGGTGGCTAGGTCAGTGCAGGGGACTTGGAAATTAAAGGAGCCTTGAGCAGATGCTTAAGTGTTTCTTATCTCCAAATTTACTACTGTTCACACATGTTGCAATAGCTGGCTGTGAGAGATGGGGAATCTCATATTTCTATGGCAGCACTCTGATGCTGCTGTGCTTGGCTGTGGGCTTCCTTGTTCCTACTGCTGGGCTGCAAGTTTTTGGGGGTTTTTTGGAGGATGGGGGTTGTGACATTGTTGGTTTTTTTTCTTGTGGTTTTTTGGTTTGTTTATTTTTAGATTCAGTAGCCAGCATAGTGGGACAGATAACTGACTACTTTGATGCTCCTTTGTACAAAGGAGAACATACTTCTGTCTTTTGGCAAGGTAGAAGGATGCTCTAGTTTGTCTTGAATGCTGCACAATGGTTCTTGGGAACATACAGGCTGCTTTCCAGCACTGTTTAACAAGATCAGCTTAAGCAAATGCTGTATGAAAGAATATGGCAAAACATTGATAAGCTTTGGAACTGGAGCTCCAAATATGCAGCTTCTTTCAAGGGAATAGGGTAAACATTTCTGCCTTCTGATATTTTAAACCCTGCTCTCACTGAGGTGATGCATTGCCTAGAGAAAGTTGCATCACAGGAATTGTCCCACTAGAGTCCTTTAGTGTAAAATCTTCCTAGTGGTGTTCTTATTCAGAAAAGCATTGGGTAAGTGTGCAGTGTTGAAACATCATGTAAACTGGGATGGGTTTGTCCATGTTTCTTTCCAAAATCACCAGTCCTGAACTAATTTACAAAGTAGTTAAAACAGCAGATGTTAAGAAAGCTTGACAGTGGGGGCAAGAAATGCCTTGCATACTGTTTTAGTGCACACCGACTTATATTTAAACTTTAATTGAAGGAAAAGCCCCCAGTAGAAATTAGCTGGATTAGTTGTTGGCTAGCGAGCAATGCCTTTGTACGAGAACTGCTTTCTAATTCAAGCTCCTCATGTTTAGCAACTGACTGTATAAAGTCTTCCCATTGCCCAAGCTCTCATGTTGCTTCTGTGATATGCAGTTGCCCCTTAAATCTGCTTTTTTTGTTTGGTTGGTTTGGTTTTGAACCAGACAGTAGAACCAGTAGGAGAACATAAGAATTGGAGTACAAATGGTGTGATATAGGTCTGGTAATGGGCTTAGGAAAATATTTTCTTTTATGCATGTCATTGATGCCTTTTTGGGGGAAGGGGAGATGTAGTTAATGAGTTCCTGGCTGCTGTTAAAGAATCGGTTGGTTGACTTTGCCAATTGTGCCAGCTATAACCTGTATCAGATGTCACATATTTCAGTTTGTAACTCTTAATGAGAAGACAGTAAAATTAGAACAGTGTGATACATGAGATTTCCTGTATCCTCAAGGCTGGATATTAGCCTGGTGTGAAGACTCCTATTTTGCATTGGTCAGATAAATTTTCCTTCTCACTTTAACACCTGATCTGTGTGCACGTTGGCAGCATTAAAGCTACCAGCTGCCTTGAACACCACTGGTCATGAGAAGGTGCTGGGCAGCCTGTTGGCTGTCCTTAACAGCGATGAGGAGAGAGGACGGAAACCGGTCCCGTGGACCCTGCTGAAGTCAATGTGGTTGAAAAGCGACTCCCCTTGATTTCCTGTCCTAGTCTCATGAGGTTTAATTGTCTTTCCAGCCTTGGTTGGTTTGCATAGTTGGTCGAGGTGATAGGGATTTTTAAAAGCTCTGGGAGATGTGTTCTGATTGATTTCATGAGGCAGAGCAAAAGTCATGTGCCTGCGGACCAGTGGAAGCCTCCAAGAAGTAGCAGTTCTGGGAAGGAGACTGAGATGGCACTTGCTAATTGTGGAAGCAACTTAAATACATTGAGACTTTCCCCCTCTGCCAAGGAGAAAGGAGGGATGTTAATAATTAACATGGGTTTATTTGCATTTGAGGAGTTTCCAGTTTAGCTAAATGCCTTGTCTAGCTAAATGTTGCTTACGTGCAGCAAGCGTGGAGAGATAGACATTGCTTCCAGTATGGGGGGGGGGAAGTTCAGAAGATTACCATCTGTTTTCCATGTCTGTAACTTTGTGAGTGTTGATAACTGCAGCATGGCTGACAAGTGACTGACCTAGTAAGAAGAATGTAGGGATTTTGGAGAGCAGATGTCTTAGGGAGTCGCAAAGACAATCCAGCTCATTTCATCTGTACTTCAGTGGTCTAAATCTGTCTGGGGATGGTAGAAAGGAAAGTTGTTGTTGTTCTGTGACTATTACAATCTCTGGTAAAACAAATTGGTAATCTCAATCCAGCTGAGTGGCCAGGTGTCCACATTGCCGTACCACCACATGCTGGACACATGTGCCTTCCTTGCCTTCTGTGGATAGAGGCATTGCCAGCATGGAGTTTGACTTTACTTTTCTCCTCCTTTTTCATCCTTGCTTTTCTTTTTGACTTCTACTACAATTCAGAATAGCTGATAAACCATGAGGTGGTTTTACAACATGGATACATGGCTGCTGTAGACATGCTTCTGCTGGAGACAACCTTCTGCTTATCTAAAAGTAGTTAATAATCTGACCCCTTTAATATTCTTGATGTAAGGGCCTTGTTTGGATTTATAGAGCATGTGAAGCTGACTTCACCTGTTGAAACAGACCTCTGTCTTTGGAAACATTCAGAAGTGAAAACAGATAGGGAACCACATGGACAGACTTTGATGGAGTGGGACCATAGCCTAAAAGATCTTTTTCCTGCCTCTCGAAGGTGGCTTCAGAAGTCCCCTTTCTCCTGTGAGTAAAGCCAGGAGAACACTACTAAGCTCAGCACTGGTGTCCAGCCCTGTGGTGGTAGCTGAACCATAGCTGAAGTGGCAGAGTACAAATACCTTTGACTTGTTCCTGACTTAAAGGCGATAAGGTTTCTGCTCCCCCTCTCCAACTTTTTCATCTGTAGTGTGTGTGTCATGTTTTTCTGCTTTGGCTTGGCTCACAGTCTTAATATTTTGTAAGTTGGTTGTAGTGCCTGTGTTGAGAGTTGGTGAATGGAAAGAAGAACATTTGTGTTTGAAATCGGGAGAACTGAAGGAAACATGCCAAATGGAATTTGGAGTTTCTCTTGGAACATGGTTAAATTGACATTTTATACTATGTAACTTTGGTTGTTTTAGTCATTCTTGTTGGTTTCACCAGTGCTGCCCTCAGTCCATGTAGGAGCGATGACCTTGATGGTGGCATGTTGTTGGTAATTGTTTATTTTAATATGTCAGCCTATCTGGGTAGCTATGTATGCAACCTGCATACAGTCCTTTTAAGCACAGTCCTATTAGTTTAGAAAAGTATAGTTTGCATGTGTGCAAGTATATATAAATGTTTGTCTGCTTTTTTTAATAACCATTGCAAATCTTGTTTAACTAACAACTTTCTTATACAAAGAGAAATATTTTGCATATTTAAGTGCAAAATCAGTGAATATCTGCTAGCTGTAAAGCTAAGTCTAATTTATGCCTTTTAAATGAATCTTTCTGAAATGTTATCAATACTTCAGACATTCCAGAAATTAATTTTACTTTTGTAGCAAAATATCTTTGAAAAACTAATTATGGTCTTGATGTTGTGACTACCAGTGTCCTTCTTATGAAAACATGTGGTGGTTATTTTGCTCTCAGTTCTTTGTGGGTTTTTTTGTTTTGGTTTTGTTTTCCTTCTAGTTATGTACCTGACAGTTTTGGGGTCTCTTTTTCCCTAGGAGCAGTTGGTCATCATGGTGACAATCTTGCAGAGAAGATACTTTCTGTGCTTCCCAAGCTTCCTGGCCACAAGACTGATGTGATGGTTAACATGGTGGAACTTACAGCACTACGGACTACAGATGAAACTTGCAATATTATAGCACCTGGCTGCTTAGCACAACCAAAGTAAATATTCTTTTTTTCTTTCTTTTTTTAAGATGTTGAATATGTTTGTTATCTTTTTGTGAGAAAAAGGAACAGGGAACAAGTCTTTTCTTTTAAACATAAAAATAATCAAGCTTACAGCAAGAACCCATCTGGTCCTAATTCTGCTGGTATATAATCAGTTTGTATGTGTGCATTAAGTGAGCGGACCAGATAAGACTCCTGAAAGTGGGAGGTTCTCAGGACCTTTTTAGATTTGGGTTGTTTAAATTGCTGTAGATTACTGTAATAGAAATCAGTACAGATTAAACACCAAAAATTCTTCCTTGTGACATTTCTTTTTCTGCCTAAGTAACAGGTCATACAAACAGGTAGGTCTAAAGTGAGGCTTTCTTTTCCCATAAGCCTCTTTATAATTATAAAGTGAGCTGCATGCTGAATTCTTGTTAGAGTACCTGTTAACTTAAGGTTTTATCCCTGTTTTCAAACACAGTACCTGTGGAGAAAGATAATTAGGCACAAATTTAGGTATACAGACAGCTTCATGAGAGCCTGGTTTTTGCTCAAACAAGGACAACCTAAACTTTGTACAATTGTACTTAGCTATGTATAATTTGCAGCTAAGACATTGCTTGTAAAGTGCATCAGATTTGATGTTTCACTTTCTAAATTTAGTTGTCCAAACTGAAACTTTCCTGCAGCTTCTGTGTCTATGCATAAACCAGGAAATACACCAGGTGCTGGTTTCACTCCACAAAAAAAAATTCTGCTCAGCATTGCTCTAGAAATTCATGCAGTGCAAAGGAGATTAAAAGTTCTTTCTCTTTTGCTGTAATGTTCCCTCCATATATTAGAAAAGGGTTTTTCAAGATGGGCTATCTAATGTAGAGTCTATTCTTCTGTTTGACTCCTTTTGGTACTTCACACCTGCGCTCTACTCCCTCTTTTCCCCCCCACAAAGATTTCACAGAAGACTTTCCGCTGTTCCAACGTATGGTCTTTATTTTCTGAGAGCCTCCAGATCCTTTGTCAACTTCCATCTCCCACACATGCTGTAACTTAGTCCTGTTTCTAGGTTTCACATTGCATAACTCTCTTTTTCCTTAGGAGTTGGAGAGGAAACATTTCCTCATATAGGTGGACTCCATTGTAAGTTGCTGCTGGGGTGACTAACTTAAATAAAATTTGTTCTGGTTTTCTTCTCATTGGCTGCTTTCCAGCTGATCTCAGAAGTAGAAGTGGGATATCCTTAAGATCCATCTACACAGCAAAATGAAGAGGTCATTGCCCATGGTAGACATGCTGTGGTAGCTGTTGTTTGTGCTAACTTTGACTAGCTACCAGAAATAAAGATAATTTCTGGCAGCGTGGACTAGGAAAAAAGATAGATATTTATTGCCCTACTTTTGTTGACCTGTGCTACTACTCCATTATTCCTAATATTATTGACATTGAGGAGACTAAAGTAAGTGCTACTATGCCTTCCCATGCTAAAATTATGACTTCGGTCTTCTCTATAGTCCCATTTTTAGGAATAGCCTGCAGAGTTTTACTGTGTTCTAAGGTGGCTAATAGTATATATACCGAGGTTTGTTTGCCTGTTTGCTAGCTAGTGGGAAGGTGCCTCTGTTAACAGTACAGTTAGACAACATATGTTGCAAAGTCTCCTGTGGACACAGGTGGTTAAAGAACAACAAGATTTGGCTACAAGGTGCTCAGCTGCTACTCTGCAAGTACAGTAAAGTTGGATGACAGCAGCTGATACCTGGTACCAGGGCAGTGGTGTCATACCACACCAGTCTGTAACAGCTTCCCCAAAATACCCTCCCTCTGCAAAGTCATCTGATAGAATCTGTTACACTGGAAATTTTTAAGAACAGGTTAGGAAAATAGTGGTTTAAATAGGATTGATCTTGCCTTGGAGCAGAGCAAAGGGACTAGATGACCTCTCAAAATCTCTCCTGTGATCATTGTTCACAGCTGAAGAAGTGATGTATGCCTGAAAATAGTCTCCAACTTCGAAGAATGCAGCTCTGCGATGTTCAACCCTGCGTCTTTCACTTTTTCTCCAACTATGTAATGATTAGGAGTAGCTTGTAACTTAAAATAGACATTTCCAAACAAGCTTAAGACAATTGCTGAAGAGTACTAGAACCCATAACAGTGTCTGAACAGGTGGCTGAAGGTGGTAACTTCCATTCTGTTCAACAGGACTGTGTTCTTAGTATTGGATTATAAACGTCAGCATTAATCATCTTTGCTAGCGTAAAATGGTTGAAGTTCTTCTGAAGCACTGAAATGGATTTAAAGTTCCCACCAGTAAGTTTCCCTGTCAATTCTGTAAGAAAATTCCATATGATGCTCTCAGTTCTTCATCAACATGGTTATTGCCATTGGTAGCCGGCTCGGAAGCATTTCTTGTAATTGAAAACTTGGGTCTTGATTTATATTTGTAAATGATGCATGGCAAGGAGTGTTCCTCTGCTTGTAAATTTTCCATTTACTCTGGCGAGTGAAAGTGCCAGCACCTTTCCCAGACGCAGGACCAGTAACTTCAGTTACACTCAAGTGGAATGTGTGTGGGCTCTTTTATGTGAAATTTTGTGATCAGACTGTGGTGTTTCACAGACTCACATATTCAGAATATTTTTCAAATGTTTTCATTATTTTCTCTCAAGTAATATTTGAGCATGCTGCGGTGGGGAGAGAGCGAGGTCTGCTCCCTCCACACAGCTTGCTATATTTAACTTTTCTTATGGAATGCTTCTCCAGCAGAAACATCTGGGCTCAGTTACAGAGTTAGCAAACAGAATTAATGAATAATTTATGGCTGGTGTGGTGAAATAAAGCAGGGTTCTTTTCTCAAATCTAAGGAAATAATGGGCTTCTTTAAAGATTTAGATGAAAATGTAAATGCCATATGCTGCTTAAGTTACTGTACTTTGAAGGTACTCTCTTTGTGAGGAAGGGAATTTCTTTTAAAAAAAAACACCTATTTTAGAATTCTTAATTTTATTAGTATTAGTAGCCTCAAAAATCTTTCAGAGTAATTGTTTGCCCTACTGTAGTCACTGGCATATTGCTGCTCCAGTGTGAATGTTAGTTGAGTTATGCCTTTTGAGAATTGTGTCAAAATGTTTTATTCATTTTTATATACAGATGCATATATATAAAGAGAATGAAACGGTTTATAGACATAAAACTAAGGAGAGCCACTCTGGATCAGAACTATTAGTTTCTGACTAAAAAGTATGGTAGCCACCCTGTCCTTCCAAACAAATAATGCATAACAGAAGTGGAAATTGTAGTGAAAACTTAATGGCAGAGGTAATTTAAAAAAAAAAAAAAAATTGATTGCAGCTCTCTTTCTGGTCTTTGTATTTTGATAACCCACACAGTGTTTTTGGAGGAATTTCTAACAATTTCAGCTTCTGATTTTAAGCATACATGTAGTGGCTTCTACGAGTTGTCTGCTTGGATGAACCTCAAGCTCTCTGTGTTTGTGAGCCATTCGTAGTGTCCGTTTGGTAACATTTTGGCCACTTTGTTTCTCAAAGCACCTATCCTGTGGTTTTAAGATTAGTATTTTATGATTTGGAAGCATTCTGCTGTCAGTAATGGAGGAGTTGATGGGGGTTTATCTTGTGCTGGTTTCCACCTCTTGCAAGCCGGGAGCCAAGGTGTGTGGAGGACCCGTGGCTCCCTGAAGCACCAAGTCAGGGTTCACATGCCTGTGTCCTGGCCACAGGTCTGTGGCGTGTGAGAACAAGAAGTAAAGAGTTATGTGATACTGAACTGTGGGCAACTGAAGAAATATGTACGTTTGCTCTTTTTTTAATCTGCTCTTTTATTACCCAGGAACACTGTTGATGTGCTCTCGTATTTTGCTGAATAAACTGAATACTTAATTCGTTTATGCACATTTCAAGAACTCGCCAAATAGAGATTTCTTCCCTGTTTTTCCACTCTTGCTTCCTTTTCTCCATTCTTTGGAGTTTGCAAGCTGCTTGGAATTCAGTGTGGTGATAAAATATCAGAAAAAGACCAGATTTTTATTTAAAATATGCATCTATTTAATGCAATATACAAAGAACCATTGGGTTCTTACGGAAAGATGCTTGCTGCAAAGATGCAAAACTATAACGTAACACACTTCACGTTTGGGCTGCTACGCCTAAAGTGATTCAGTGAGCAATATAGCTGAGGTGTCTGGGCACTTTTGACAAAGCACTAAATCATCTGAATTTGCACTGGGCGGGGGGGGGAATAACAAGTTCAGAATGAGGTGATCTTGTTGATGGGTGTGATGCAGAAAACATCGATATGCAAGCCAGACGTTTGAAACACGGCACTTGCAAAATCTTTCTGTAGGTCTTTGTATGACAGGTGGAAGGAGAGGTGTGCTGGGGTGTGGAGAAAGAGAGCTGGTTAAAAATTAGAACATTCCTGGAGATGTAATGGTAAAATTTCGAGGTCTCATGTTAATGGCAGTTGAAAATGCATACTTCTCCCAATCCTCCTTAGTTCTGAGGTTGTTAAATCCTATTTTGGACTGATTAGTGCTGTTGTTTGCAAGTGCTAAAACTGTTACAGTTTGGATGGAGGAGAAAGCCTCACTCCAGCTGTACCGTTGCTCTTGTGCGTGATGTGATGATGCAGTGCTCTCCTGATACTGGTGGAAGTTGGACAATCCTGAGTGTAGCGGAAGGCCATGGGGTGAAGGGACTTCTATTCCGGTCCTGGCTCTGCTGTTGGCTTGCAGCGTGATCTTGGACAGGTCACTTCATTTCTTTCTACTCCTGTTTCCTCTCCTAGTCCTTGTCCAAGGAACTTTGTTTTTTAAACCAGTAAACCAGGGAATTTCTTAGGATACAAGTTTGCAGACCACATGGCAGAAGATCCTAGGGGTTCTGGTCTTCGGGAGGGTACAAATAATGTTGCAAATGATTACATGGGGAGTTAAGATGTCAGGACAAGCAAAGGCAGGATCTCCATTTGTCTTTTTTTCGGTACTGTGTCCT